ATGTAGGCTAGACTGGTCTTGAATGTACAAAGATCCTCCTGTCTCTGCCTCCCAAGTGTTGAGGTTAAATGCTTGGGCCACCACACCCAGCTAATATGCACTCTTAGCCTCAGAACCATCATTCTAGTCCTTAGCATACTTTTTTGTTTTGTTTTGTTTTTTCGAGGCAGGGTTTCTCTGTGTTGCTCTGGAGCCTATCCTGGAACTCGCTCTGTAGACCAGGCTGGTCTCAAACTCACAGAGATCCAGCAGCCTCTGCCTCCTGAGCGCTGGGATTAAAGGCGTGCGCCACCAACGCCCGGGCTTGTTTTTATTTCTTGAGACAGGGTCTCACTCTACAGCCTTGGCTGGTCTGGAACTCGCTATGTAGACCAGGCTGGCCTCGAGCTCACAGAGATCCGCCTGCCTCTGCCTCCCGAGCACTGGGATTAATGCGTGCGTACCGCTTATCTGGAAAAAACGAGTGTCCGTCATGCTGGGGAAGCATGGCAGCCAGTGGCTGGCATGGAGCATGGAGCTGAGAGGCCACATCTTAGCCACGGCATGAAGGAGAGGGAGAAAACTGGAAGCAGGGTGAAGCCACATGATCTCAAAACCCATGCCCAGAGACTACTGCCTCCAGCAAGGCCATGCCTCCCAAACCTCCCCAAACGGCACTACCACACCGGGACACTACCACACGGGGACATGTTCAAATGTCCGAGCCTGTGAGGGACGTCTATCACTCAAACGCCACACCGCGGTACTGCAACCTTTGCCCAGGGACCATGCTGGCGTCTTTGGAACTCTGGACTCAGACCTTGTGCGGCGGCAGTAGCCTGCCGCCTGCCTTCCTTTACTGGGAGGTAACCGATTCCCCCAAGGGTGTGTGTCAGAGCCCAAGGTCACACAGGGCCAGGGGCCTGCCTCCAAAGAGACAGTGACGCCACAGGAAGAGGGAACAGGTGGCTTCCTGCCTCTTTTCATCTTTTGTTTATCCAATCAACAAACGTCTGGCGAGTGTCTCCAAGAACTGGGAGCCAAACAGGCGAAGACGCTCTCTCCTGGAGCTCACTAGTGCAGGGAGACAGACAGGAAACACACTGGAAGTCTGTTGCTGAAGGAATCCAAGGAATTTCACCCACAAACGACTGTGCACCCTGGGGATCAGCATAAAGTAAAGGCCCTTGGTGAGCAGGAAATACTGTTGGGAGGCTTCCCAGGATGCTCCTCCCTCAGCTGGATGAAGGACTCTAGGCCATTCCCAAGCTTCAATGAACACACACACACACACACACGCGCACGCACACACACACACACACACACGCACGCACGCACGCACTGTTGGGGGAAGGGGGGCAGCGACGGGGATGGACACAGTGTGCCTGGACAGATTGTCAGCTGCGGCGCTTCCCCCAAGGTTCATTCAGTTTCCAGAGAGCTGATCATATCCACAGCCTCCCAAATTCACATTCCCGTCTCCGGCCTCCATGAAGAAAGACGCAGAGGTATGTGCACGACACTGGCTTTAAGGTAACCACTCTTCTGTGACAGTCCCTTTTCATTCCGTCCCGGGGGAGCCCTCATATCTCCAGCATCTTCCCCAGGGTTAGCAAGATTTCCTGCCAAGAGGGGGCCATGACGTCGGCAAGGTCATGCCTGTTCCCACGAGTTCAGCCCTGCCGGTGTGCTTTACGGCTTGTTGAGTTGCAGAGATTATCTCAATGTTCTTCCGCTGGATACAAATCCTCGCAAGCGTGCTAGTGTCTGTCAACTTTAACACAAGCTTGAGTCGCTGGGAAAGAGGGAGGTTTGATTGAGGAATTGGCACCATCAGATTGGCTTTTGGGGCATTTTCTTTTTTCTTTTTCTTTTTTTGGTGTTTGGAGACAGGGTTTCTCTGTGGCTTTGGAGCCTATCCTGGAACTCGCTCTGTAAACCAGGCTGGCCTCGAACTCACAGAGATCCACCTGCCTCTGCCTCCCGAGTGCTGGGATTAAAGGTGTGCGCCACCAACGCCCGGCCTTGGGGTATTTTCTTAGTGAAGGAGCTGCCACGTCTGCCATCCCTAGGCTGGTGTTTCTGGGTTATACGAGAAAGCAAGCTGAGTGACCCATGGGGAGCGAGCACCCCTTCGTGGCCCCCGCCTCAGCTCCTGTGGGATGGACTGGGAGTTCTATGCTGTGATAAAACCCTTCCTTTCCCAAGCCGCGTTTGGTCACGGTGTTTATCACAGCAGCTGGCAGGGGCAGGCACAGTGTTTACTGCTTTGGAAAAGCAACAAGGGAGATACTGAAGCTGTGGTTGGTTTCAGATAACCCCTGGGAGCAGCGTGCTACAGGAGGGAGCCCCTGCACCAGAGGGGCCAAGCCTGGGTCTTGAAGGAGGAAGGCATCAGGAGAGATGCAACTTCATATGGGAGACCTCACGGCGGGGCCTCATAAGAGGACCTGCATCAGGAGAGAGCGCCACTGTATAGCAAGGTGGGAAGGTTGAGGGGAAGAGCCCCTCAAATCCCAGGAAAGAAAGAGGTTCTCACTCTTACAGCTTTTCAGGGAGGGTGGGACCTTCCATATCCTGTGACTGACTCAGCCTGGCCTAGCCTCTGTGCCAAAGGACACGGAACCAGGTAGAGGGATAAAGTTATCTTGTGATTGCGAGGAGGAGGAGGGGCCGAGCACGCTTGCCTCAATCGTTTTCTGGAATTCCCCACCTTTCCTCTGCCCCCTTAGCAACCCTCCCTCCCCTCCGTGGAAGTTGGCCAAAAACGTGCTCTCCAGACCCCTTGTGTTAGTAGTCACTTTTCTGTCTCCGTGATAACGCACCACAGCGGAGACAACTTACAGAAGAAAGACTTTATATTTGGCTCAGGGCTCCAGAGTGCTAAGAGGCTGTCACGGCGGAGAAGCGGCAGGTATGGCAGCTCAGACAGCCATGAGAACACGCACTCTGACACCCAAGAAAGAAGCAGAGGCAGTAGCCTGCCTCAGCAATTACCTTCCCACCATCAGCAATGCTACCTGTGCACCCCTTAACAGTGTCCGCCAGGCGCCGGGCATTGATGGCACACGCCTTTAATCCCAGCACCCGGGAGGCAGAGGCAGGCGGATCTCTGTGAGTTCGAGGCCAGCCTGGTCTACAGAGTGAGTTCCAGGACAGCCTCCAAAGCCACACAGAGAAACCCTGTCTCGGAAAACCAAAAAAAAAAAGTGTCTGTAGGCAGTTTTTGTTCTTACCTCTCCTGCCTCTTGCTCCTCTTCTCCGTTCTCTGTCCGTCTGTTATGTCTGTTTGCCCGTCTGAGGCCTTTCACTCCCCCCCCCATAAGCTTATTGCACTCTGTTGCGCATGGCATGTTTGCTTAGTGACATACCTTGGCAAGGACCCCCAAAAGGTACCCACTTAACTTTTCTTTTTTCTTTTTAAATCATTTCGGTGGGGCCAGGAGCGGTGACACATGACTTTAATTTCAGCACGAGGGATGCAGAGGCAAGTGGAGTTCAACGCCTCTGTGAGTTCAACGCCAGCCTGGTCTACATAGTAAGTTCCAGGTCACCAGGGCCATTAGACTCTGTTTCAAGGGAAAAAAAAGGGTTCAGAAGTCAGGTAATTGGTCATTGATTGGCATCATCAGCTGTGCAGCCTGCTGCCCCACCCCCACTCACCAGCCAAGCACGGTGAAATCAAGACCTAGTTCTGGTTCGGTAACATAGAAGCCAGAGATGGGGTCCTCAGTAAGGAAGTGCTGGGAAGGTCTGTGGATTGGAAGAGACAGGCCCAGGACAGTGAGCACTGGAAATGCCCCTGAGGGGTCCTATCACAACGGGAAGGATGGAAACAAATGGGAGGGCAGAGGGGCCGCAGGAAGGCCGTGTAGTGTTTTAACAGGCTTAATTTTTAATCTGCAGACGGTTGTGAGTCACCGTGTGCGTGCTGAGAACCCAGGCCTCAGGAAAGGGAGACAATGCTATTAATTAACCAGCTCTCAGTCCCCTTAACTGTCTTACTGAGATGTAAATCACACCTCCTAAAAATCCACCGACCCCCACTCTGTGACAAAACACGCAACTGAAACCTGTTAGTGGCGGAGGAGTTTACTCTGATTCCTGTTTCGGAGGTGGCGAATGGATAAACAGGCGTGGCTGTGCACAGCCTGCCGGGGTCATTCTCACCGGCTAGATGAGAAAGAAGGGCTCACCTGCAAGGCCAGCTCTGCCCTACACACCTCCTAATGGTTCCAGAACCTCCCAAAAAGCACCAGCAGCTGGGGACCAAAGCGTTCCCAACCATAGCAGGCCGCTGCCTTAAAACCTGCAACTCCGAGGCTTCTACAACAGTCCTAAGGTGATGCAGTCATCACCACTGTCTAGTTCCAGCAGATTTTTCTGCACACACACCTCTGAGCAGCCCCTTCCACCCCTCCCTTGTCTGGACAGCTACTGACCTCTCTGCCTCCGTGGATTTGCCTAATCTGGATCCCTATAGTCGGAATCACACAACAAGAGACGATTTCTGACTAGTGTCTCTCACTCTGTATAACGCTTTCAAGTTTCGTCCATATTGTATGTAGCCTCAACATTTAGTTCCTACTTAGGACTAGGTAGTAGTCTTTGTGTGTTATATATCATATTTGGGGGCTGGCTCGGTGGTTGAGAGTGCTTGCTGTTCTTCCCAAGGCCCCAGGTTCAATTCCCAGCAACTCACAACTGCCTGTAATTCCAGTTCCAGAGGATCTAAGGCCTGAGGCTCACTCGTGTCCACATACCTCCTCCCCCACATACCCACACACTTGCACACAATTAAAAACAGTAATAGTAAATCTTAAAAAAATGTTTCTATCTATCTTCTGAACTTGTAGGGGGTTTTGTTTTGTTTCTGTCTTTCTGGTTGCACGAGTTGGGAGGCTAATGAGTATTTGAGAGCAAGCTTCTGTGTGGACATATGTTTTCAATGATCTTGGGTACAGACCTGAAAGTGGAATTACTGAGTCACTTGGCAAGTCTGCGTTTAAGGTTTTGGAGGAGCTGTCAAACTGCTCTTCAAAATGTCTGAACCATTTTACGCCCCCTCTAGCACCGAAGGGAGGTCCTAACTTGTTCCCAATATCACCAACACTTCTTCCTATTTTTAGTTTACCCATTCTTGTAAGGCAGGAATTGAATCTCCTCACGGCTTTAACTTTTTTTTTTTTTTGTAATTACCTGTATGCATTTGTGTCTGTTTGTGATGTGTGCTCATGAGTGAAGTACCTACAAATGCCAGAGGAGGGTGCCAGATCTCCCGAGATTGGAGTTACAGGAGGTTGTGCGGCACCAAAATACTGCTGAGCCATCTCTCTCTAGTGCCCCCTGGTTAGAATAACTTGTAGGGCAAATCCCATCTCACGTGCTCAAGTGTCCATTTACTTTAAATAAAAGTGTCTTATTTTAGTATTTTGAATTATGAGAGTTTCACCTGCAGGTTTGTTTGTGCACCATGTGCATGCAGTGCCCTCAGAGGTTAAGAACACTGGCTGCTCTTCCAGAGGTCCTGAGTTCAATTCCCAGCAACCACATCACAGCCATCTGTATTGAGATCTGGCGCCCTCTGCTGGCCTGCAGGAATATATGCATATAGAACACCATATAATAAATAAATAAATCAAGAAGAAGAAGAACTGGGCATTGGTGGCGCACGCCTTTAATCCCAGCACTTGGGAGGCAGGGGCAGGTGGATCTCTGTGAGTTCGAGGCCAGCCTGGTCTACAGAGAGAGTTCCAGGACAGTCTCCAAAACAATACAGAGAAACCCTGTCTCGAAAAAGAAGGAGAAAAAGGAGAAGGAGAAGAAGAGGAGGAAGAGGAGGAGGAGGTGGTGGTGTTGTTGGATCCCCTGGAACTGGAATTACAGATGCTTATGAGCAGCCATATGGATGCTGGGTACCAACCGAGGCCCTCTGGAAGAGCAGTCAGTATTCTTAATCACTGAGCCATCTCTCCAGCCCCCCTACTGATTATTTTAAATGACGTTGTCTTTTTATTGCCACATGAGAGTTATTTATACATTCTGGATTTTGGCTTCTTATCAGAAGATTTACAATAGCACCCATTCTGTGGTTTGTTTATCCACTATATTGGTGGTCTCTGAAACACAACACTTTTCAATTTCGATGAACTCTCATTTACTTTTTTTTCTTTTGTGTCATCGCTAAGAAACCATAGTATAATCAGTCATAAAAATTTTATCTTATGTTTAATTTTATGCATAAGAATGCTTTGCCTGTGTATATGCACATGCAGTACATGCATGCAGTACTCTTGGAGGCCATAGAATAACTACAGACCCTCTAAATCCTGGAGTTACAGATAGCTGTGAGTCACCTTGCGGCTGCTGGGAACTGAACTCAAGAACTCAAGTCTTAACTCGGCAGTGGTGGCACACGCCTTTAATCCCAGCCAGGGCTACTTGGAGAGACCCTGTCTCAAAAACAGGGTGGGGGACTGGAGAGATGGCTCTGTGGTTAAGAGCACTGGCTGCTCTTCCAGAGGACCTAGGTTCAATTCCCAGCTCCCACATGGCAGCTAGCAGCTGTCTGTAACTCCAAGATCTGACACCCTCACACAGATATGCATGCAGGCAAATCGCCAGTGCAAGTAAAAAGACAAATATATATATAGTCTTCTGCAAAAGCTCATAACTGCATAACTGCTTAGCTGTTTCTACAGACCCTGCCTCTGTCCCTGCCAGTGACACACGCCTTTAATCCCAGAATTTGGGAGGCAGAGGCAGGCAGACCCTGTGAATCAAGGCCAGCCTGGTCTACAGAGTGAGTTCCAGAACAGCCAATGCTGTTACACAGGGAAATCCTGTCTGGGAAAACCAAAACAAGAGTTCTAAAGGCATATGCCACCAATGCCCAGCAAGTTGTTGTATATTTTTATCTAAGGATTTTATAGTTTTACTTCTTGATTTGTTTGACTTAATTTTTGCATGGCATAAGGAATAGGACTCAGCTTCAATAACTTTGCACATACCTAGAAAATTTCCCAGCGATATTTGCAGATTAGGGTATTATTCCTCCACCAAATTGTCCTAATACCTTTGTTGGAGTTGTTTTTTAATATGGGAGAGCCAATACACATGTGCATACTAGGAACAGAGTCAGCAGAGAGGAAGAAATGGTGACATGACAGGAGATGGGTAGGGAGAGTCCTCAAGTGGGAGAAGGAACTGGGTCCAGTTTTCCGGGCAGGAGGGGGTCTCTGTTCTTGGGGAAGTAGATCAGGTGATACCGGTGCAGAGGTCGGTAGTGGGCATTCACTTCTGATCACTTCACTTTTCTTGCTGAGGCAGGAAGCAGCAAGAGAGGAAGACAGAAGTCCAGACCAGGGCCAGAACTGAGAAGAGGGTGTTTCAGAATGAGATACCAGAACCCAGTCTCTGCTGAGGCCACAGTGTCTGCAGCAGCCTCTCCTCCCCCGTTTCACGGGCTGAGACAAGGTCTGCCGGTTCCTGGACAACAGACTCCCCAGGGCCAGGATCTCTCACCGGAGCAGCAAATTTTATCAAAACAACATATCCCGCCCTCCATGCCTTCCCTACCCTCTGCCTTGTTGTAGGCTCTTAATGAGAAATCCCTGTCCTCTGAGAGCTGTTTCCTCCTCCTCTGCCACATGAGCTCTGGTTCTCTTCAGAGATTCACGCCATGCTGTCTCTCATGCTGAGGTCTGAACTCTCCTCAGAGTCCCTGTTTTTTATGTTTTTAAAATTATGTGTGTGTATTTGTGTGTGTGTGTGTGTGTGTGTGAGAGAGAGAGAGAGAGAGAGAGAGAGAGAGAGAGAGAGAGAGAGAGAGAGAGAGAGAGAATAACCTGAGGAGTTCATTTTCTCCTTCCATCATGTTGGTCCCAGGAATTAAACTCAGGTTATCAGGTGACAAGTGTCTTTACCAGCTTTACGCTCTCATCAGCCCTTGTTTTGTTTTCTTGAGACATAAACCTTGCTATATAGTCCAGGTTGGCCTGGAATTCATAATCATAATCCTCCCACTTCAGCCTCTGGACTGCTAGGATCACAGATGTGCACCAACAGACTCAGCTCTTTTTAAATTAATTAGTGTGTGTAGGTGTGTGTTTGTATGTGTGTGTGTGTGTGTGTGTGTGTGTGGTGTGTGGTATGTGTGGTGTGTGTATGTGGTGTGGAGTGTGTGTGTGGTGTGCTGTGTATGCATGACTTCATACACCACAGTGTGTGGAGAGGTCAGAGGACAATTTGCAGGAGTCAGTTCTTTTCCTTCTACCCTGTTGGCTCCAGGGATCAAACTCAGGGACTAGGCTTAGCAGCAAGCACCTTTACCCATTGAATCATCTCACAAGCTCAGTATTCTTATTTTATGCCAGGTATGGTGATTCACACTGTTAATCCCAGCATACAAGAGGCAGAGGCAGGGGGACTTCTGTAAATTCAAGGCCAGCTCGGATTACATAGTGAGTTCTAAGCCAACCGGGGTTACATAATGAGACTCTATTTCAATCAACCAATCAATCACAGGGAAGGAGAAATGGTGCTGAGGTTAAGAGTGCTTGCTGCTCTTCCAGAGGACCCAGGTTCAATTCCCAGCACCCACACAGCAGCTCAAACCATCTGTAACTCCAGTTCCAGGTGGTCTGACACCCCCTCATGTGACCTTCCCGAGGGATGGCTCATGAACACAGACATGAATAAGTGTAACGTGTTGTTTTTCTGCCAGTTAGCCATTTGGGTCCTGCCACAGTTAGCCGCTTGGGTCCCGCTGCTGGCTCAGCCCCCAAATAACACACAGGATGCTCTATATTGATTATAAGCTGTTGGCCGTTTGCTTGGTTTCTTACTGGCTAGCTCTGACTTATGTATTTAACCCATAATTGCTAATCTAAGTATTTCCATGTGGTCTACTCTTACCCAAGGAATGGTCCGGGAATGTTACTTCTCCTGCATCCTACAAAGTGACTCACTGTGCCCCTCTTTCCCAGAATCCTCCTCAACTCCTAGTCCCACCTATCTTGCTTCCCTATTGGCCAACAGTGCTTTATTAACATATACACAGAAGGACTTCCCCCATTAAATAAGTATATATAACCAAAATTTAAAATAAACCTTTAAATATGTTACATAACATATTGGTCATTATTAATTTATTCTGTTTTATTTGTTACAGGGTCTCATCATATATCCCTGGATGGCCTAGAACTTGCTATGTAGAGCAAGCAGACTCATCTCAAACTCAGACATTTGCCTGACTCTGCTTCCCAAGTGTTGGGATTCAAGGCATGTGCCACCACACCCAACAAAATTAAATCTTTTTTTTTTTTAAGTAAAAATTAAGGGGTCTGGAGAGATGGCTCAGCAGTTAAAAGTACTTGTCTTTTGCAGATAACCTATGTTCAATTCCCAGCACCCACATAACAACTCATAACCACTCATAACTTCAGTTCCAGAATGCACAAGACACAGACATACATAAGAGCAAAACTCATACCCATAAAGTCTTAAAAAATTACGACAGAACCCAGCCCTCTGAGCCACCATTGTCATAACTGCCTCAGAAGCCTCCTATGACTAATGAAGCCACTTATCTCCTCCCAACAAACTGGAGACACCAGACAGACCCAGGATGAGAGGAATCCTGGCATTTCTTAATCGCCATATGTTGATTGCTTAGAATGGAGAAACACCCGGTTTCGTATACAAAGAAGGCTGCAGGAGACACAGTCGGTGTTTTGCTCTAGGCTTTTTAAAACCTCAGGAAGTCCTCAAGCCCTCTGCAGCCCAACTCATAAACCAGACCCCACTGTGACAGCATCCTGGATTTTGAACGGTGACCACGAGAGGGCGCTGCGACCTAGCTGTGGAAAACGGAGCGGTTCGCAGCTAGGTGGCGCATGATAATCTCGGCTGAGTGGTCGCAGCCAGCATTATCCTCTTTGCCTCCTTCCTTGGCTATGGGGTCTTGATCCTGCATCCTTGGCCATAGGACCTTTGCCAATAGTGTCTTCGCCCTGCATCCCTTCCCGTGTGCTTCCTTCCAGGCTCTGGCTGTATCTGACTTGACAGAATCAAAGTCAAGTCTAGCTGAAAACACACCATCTGCCTGTAAGGAGGAAAAAAAAACTCCGGAGCTGTCACGTCAGCGCCCGACGCAGGTTAACCAGCCTCCAAGCAGATGGTCGCTTTTTATAATTACCGGGTCCCTGCCTCGGCTTGCTCCCCTTTGCCTCCTCCCCAGCGGGAGCAGGTGGGTGTCACACCCCCGCGTGTGCCCTGCCACCTGCTGCCACCAGCTACCAGTGGCGACACAGCCCTGCAGAGAGCCCCTTCTCCCCAGGGAGGCCTGGACCCAGATTAAACAGATCGTTGACTTGCTGGAGAGGATGCAACAAAACCTCCACGCCAAACCTTGGAGGGTAAATTAATGAAAGATTTTGACTGAACAACACGAACTTTTAAATCCAGCCATTTTGCTCTGGAGGAATCTGTCATAATCCAAAGACTATCAAAATCCAAATTACGGAGATAGTAACATAAGCAGTGCTTTGATGATAAGAACTTTCCTAAAACACACTCCATGCTATGATATAAAGGCTACTGTGTAACCAACCATTGCCAGTGTTTCTGAGGCGTTTGAAATTACCTTTAAAAATACGAAGCTGGGGTGGAGAAATGGCTCAGTGGTTAAGAGCACCAGCTACTCTTCCAGAGGTTCAATTCCCAGCACTTGTATGTACGGTGTTTCACAACTGTCTGTAACTCCAATTCCAGAAAATCTGATGCCCTCTCTTGGCATATGTGTACATCAGGCAAAACACCCATTCACATAAATATATATACATTTTTAAAAGGAATATGAAGTTGGTGGTGCATGCCACTGGATTTTTCTAAGTTTTTGGCAAAAAGTTATGGACAAATAAAAGGAAATGAACGGTTTCTAAGATCTGTTTTTTAAAAACAAAGAGTTAAAGGAGGGCGTGATCACTGTGAGTTCGAGACCAGCCTGGTCTACCGAGTGAGTTCCAGGACAGGCTCCAAAACAATACAGAGAAACCCTGTCTCCAAAAACCAAAAAAATGAATAAATACATAAAGGAGGGTGTGGTGTCTCATGCGTGTGATCTTACAATTTAGGTGGCTGAGGCAGGAGGAACATGAGGTTGAGGACAGCCTCTAACTACACAATGAGGCCCTGACTCAAAACTTACCCCAAGCTACACTAGATCAAACCAACCACACAAAGGCGAACCCAGCAGATGGTAACAGTGACTATTTCTAAGTCAGCCCAGGCAGCTGTCTTTCAGTTTATGGCCTCTGGCTCCTTTTAAATATTGTGCCAGGCAGCTATTAGCTACTTAAACCAAAATGTAGCAAAAAAAAAAAAAAAAAAAAAAGATACAGGGCTACAAATACCTTTGAAACAGTAACAGAGAAGCAATCACCAGGGAAACGGGGGGGGGGGGATGTTTTCAACTCCTCAAAGAATGGCAGAAGGTTGTGGGCCGGGTGCCACTGGGCCACAGCAGAACTGGCCGTCACCGTGCCCTCATTTGAGGGCTGCTCCACCAGACACATCAGACAGGAATCCCAGGGCTGCACCTCCTGGTCCCCCAAGCCTGGCACACAGTGGGACGTCATGCAGGAGTGTGGAAGGATGGGTCCAACTGCCTAACAAATGGAATTCTGTCACAACCCTGACTTTCCTTTTTCTTTTTTCTCTTTTTTTCAAGACAGGGTTTTGTTTTGGAGCCTGTCCTGGAACTCGCTCTGTAGACCAGGCTGGCCTCGAACTCACAGAGATCCGCCTGCCCCTGTCTCCCAAGTGCTGGGATTAAAGGCGTGCACCACCAATGCCCGGCTTCAACCCTGACTTTTCTAAATGCATGTGTAAGCAATTGCAGAACTTGGCATACTGTTCAAAACAGGGCACATGCCTCTACTCAAGCGCTTGGGAGGCTGAGGCAGAAGGGTTGTTGAGTTCCACAGCCTGGATTATATAGAGATAAAGTGAGGCCCTGACTCAAAATAACAAAACAAAACAAAAAATAAAAGAAAATATCCCGTAACCTGAAACACTGAACAAAGACTCTTAATCACGGCTTCATTGCCATGCATCTGCCGACCAATGCCTTCACCCCTACACAAAACGAGGTCCACTGTAGAGCTCAGTGGAGCTGTAGCAGCTAGGGGTGTGGTCCTGACCTTAGACTTCTAGTTCAAGGGGCCTTGTGGGTCACTTACTGTTTAGCAGGAAGAACAGACAGTGTCAATCAGAAGAGCCAGTCTCCAAAGAGCACTCTCTGTCCTGCCCTGTCCCTGTTCTCCACGTGTTTTACAGGTGTCACGCCGACACCAGGGGATCTGACAAGTGCCAGCTGGGGTACAATGATATAAAGTGTCCACCCCCTCCATCCCCATGGGGTGAAGTCCACAGGAGGCCTCATTAAACACGTGGAGCTCTCTGCCCTGCCAGGGTTCTGCACCCCTTCAGGGGGCCCTCAGTCCATAGGGCATAGAGGGCAGGAGGAGGCTAAGCAGAATGTGCAGCCCCAGCCGAAGCCGGCCCGAGACGGTAGTAGGGATCTGGGCTGGGCAGCTTTTACCCATCTGGTAAAGCCACAAGTCAAACCACCTTCCCTCTTAAATGTTAAGGCTTCAAGTCTCAGAAGTAGTTCACACAAAATACATAAAAATGGCTTTTTCAGGGAAAAGTAATTTATTAGTAATTTGATGACATCTGGGTTGTAGTTTTGAAAGCAAAGAGAAGACACATCAGGGAAGACTTCATGATAGGAACATCATTGTCACCTGTCCACAGTGGTTCACACCTGTAATCCCTGCACTCAGGAGGCAGAGGCAGGCGGATCTGAGTTTGAGGCCAGGCTGGTCTACAAAGTGAATTCCAGGGCAGCCAGGGCTACAAAGAGAAACCCTGTCTCAAAAGCCAACACCACTCCCTCCCCCATAAAAGGAAGATTGTTGGCCCATTCTGTCACTTCAGAGGCAGCATACATCTTACTAAAAATATTTCATGTGGAAAACATGTCCCAAAATTTGTTTGTGAAACCACATGGTGTGTGGGTATGGGCTCTGGGTTCCAGAGTTACCAGGCCAAGCTTGGCTTCTGCGGTTAGTAGCTCTGTGGCTTCAAGATGCTTGAATTTTGATTCTAGGCTTCGTTACACGTTCTCTCCCTAGAGGAGTTCCACAGGAAGTGATTTCAAAACAATGATCCCCCAAAGTATTTACTGAAGCCTGGCATAGTGGTATACCTCTATAATACCAACACTTAGGGGGTTGATAGAGGCAGGAGGATCATGAGTTTGAAGCCAAGCGGAACCACACCGAGGAACCCTGTTTTGAAAGCCAACACTTAGAGGTAGGGAGATGGTTTAGCCATGAATGCTTTTGCAGAGTGAATGGGTTCAGTTCCCGGCTCCCATATGACAGCTTAGTCAGCAACTCCTGTTCCAGAATGTCCAGTGCCCCCTTCTGGTATCTGTGTGAATCACATACATACACACTGTATTTACATAAATGCAGACAAAACATGCAAAATAAATAAAACAGAAAGAAATAAAAGTACATAGCATTAAAAATATATGTTTATTCAGTGTCCACCACATAAAAGCCACACGGTGCCAAGCAGGAGCAAGCTGGAGATAGGAGGGGTGACCAAGACACACAGCTCCTGCCCTCCCTGAGGGGGGATAAGAAGAAGTATCAAATGTTTAATCCAGTGTATGACATCATTAGTTGGGCTCCAGTACTAGGACCAACTGGCCAAATCCAAACTGAGTCACTCAAGGTCTGGGACTCAGCTTAGCTTTACAACACTTGCCTTGAATCTATCAAAAGCGGGCTGGGAGTAGGGCTCACTGGTGGTATTTGCCTAGCTTGTGCAGGGCCCTGAGTTCTATCCACGGCACCACAAGGAAAAAAAAAAAAACCAAACAAGCTACTTATCAGGTTTGAGCCATTGTCATTTAGGTAAATCAAGGAGAAGCTAGCCAAATCCTTACACAGCCGGCCGGGTGCAATCCAGGTGATAAGGCGTCTACCCATGGGTTAACTTTAGTGGCACTGTTGTTTCTGCCCTTCCCTTGGTCTCCTCTGTCAACCTCCTCGATCTAATGCATCAGGACACTCACTGCATCTTGACTCTGTGACAGCAAATAAAAGCCAAGTAAGGCAGTGATTTATGTCCCCAACTCCTATCTCCCAGCTTCCTCTATGTTGTCCGGGTTGGCCTTGAATTCCTGGGCTCAAGGATGCTCTCGCTTTGGCCTTTCACTTATCTGGGGCCGTGGGGTGTGCCTCACAGCACCTCGCTCAGTTAGGGTCTTTGAACTCGACTCATTGTTAGTTTTGTCTTTTCACACAAGTGAATTGGAGATTGCGGCCAGTGTAGAGAGGGAACTGAGCATGGAAGAACTAACTTAGATAGGCACAGAGAACAGCCTATGAGGTAAAGCTGGGCATGGCGGCGCAAGCCTACAGTCCCAGCTACGTAGCAAAATCACTTGAGTCCAGGAGTTCAAGGCCAGCCCAGGCAACACAGTGACTACAAAAGTATAGAGAATAAAAAGGGCCCAGAATTGACAATAAAAGTAGAAGATAAATAAGTGCCATGATTGTCCATAAGAAGGCAAAAGACTCTAGAAGTTTAGCCCAAGTTACTCAAGAGAGCCTTGGGTCATAGACAGTGGCAGAGCACAGAAACTGCCTGGCATCTGTGGTTTCACTCAAAGTAGGGACCACTGTCATCCTGAGACCACTGGGAAGTCCTTGGAGGAAGACGGGGAACACAAGGCAAGTAAGCATAACCCTGGCAAGAGTTGACTCTGCACCCCAAGACCCCAGAGTCTATGGGGGTCTAAAACCCTGTGACAGGTACCTAGAGGTCCTCTTCACAGGAAGAGGGGCATTCGGCACAGCTGGACAGCCAACTTCTGTTAGAGCCACAGGATCAGAACTCCCAAGCTGTTTGTGGACGCCAACAGCCTGAATCTTTCCATAGCACACGCATCTCCAGCGGGGGACAGTCCAACAGGATGTACTCGTACTCCAGCTTATAGTCAATGCTGACAATACGCAGGTTTCTCAGAGGTACCCCCCAGGCATCCCTGATTCCCAGGTCACCCCTCGAGAAGCCATAAAGTCATCCCCCAGGGAGAGTGGCCTAGTCATCATAACGGATCTCCGCCTGCAGCTCCTTGGTGATATAGGTGGCTAGCACGGCCAAGAGCTTTTGCTGCATGGCCTGGTTGCTCATGACCAGAGCAGTGAGCTGTACAGCGTCTGTCCAGTCCAAGTTCCTGATGATGGCCGTGGCTTCGTTAACGAGTTTCTGCTGTTCAGCAGGGGGCAGCTCCATTAGGATCTGAGGAACTGGCTTAAACTGTCCACTCGTCATCCAGGCACCTAACAGGCCCCCAACTGCCCCCCCTGAAAAACAAGGAAGGGATCAATTAGTCAGCCTCATTCTCCAACAATGGCTTTGGTTTCTTGCCGAGAATGTAGCCACTGTCGTGACAAGTGGGCACATTCATGAACAGGTCACAGCAAGCTCAGCTTCTGCCAGGCAGCCAGCAGGGCAAAGAATTATGTAGTCTCTAGTCCATTCGGCCCAGGTAATTGACACCCACGCATGTCCCTCCCAGTGCTCCCCACTTACACCCTCCCTACCCCAGATCCCCTTCACGGCTGAACACTCCCACGCCTGAGACTCCCAGAACAACCTGTCCCCACAAAGGGGCTGACAGAGGACAGGGAAACGGTCTTCTGAGAAACCACTTGCCTGGAGAGGCTGGGAGGATGAGCTGTTTCCATGGTATGGCTGTGATCAAACACCACGATAATAAACAGCTTGGGGAAGAAAGAGTTAATTTCATCTTACAAGTCTCAGGTCACACTCGATCACTAACACAAGTCAGGACAGGAACTAACTCAAGGCTGGAACTTGGAGGCAGGAGCTGATGCAAAGGCATTGAGAGGTAGGCGCTGCTTGCTGGCTTGCTCAGCCTGCTTTCCTAAAGCACCCAGAACCACCAGCCCAGGGACTGAACACTCCACAATGAACCAAGCTCTTCCACACCAATCATCAATCAAGAAAATGCACCGTAGGCTTGCCCACAGACCAGTCTAGTAGGGGTATTTCCTCAACTGCGGGTCCCCCTTCCAAAAATAGCTCAAGCTCGTGTCAGGTGGATATAAAATCCATGGCCGAGAGGAAAAATGCCCTAGAAGTTAGAAAATCCCCAGAGAACTCACACGGGAAATGACCCAGGAGGCAAGTCAGGAATTTCACTTGGAGACTGTCTTTTATTCCAGTCTCACAAACAAAACCAAGCCAAATATAACTTACTATCTGGCCCTTCCCAAAACTGGATAAACTTTTACTGTCTCTTGCTTTTTGGAGACCAGGTCTTATTGTGCATCCCAGGGTAGCCCAGAACTCTTGCTCCCCCTGCCACGGCATCCCAGCTGAGAAGCTTGTGCCAGCCACCAAACCCAGCTAGGAACACTATTTTTAGATTTCTGTTTTCATCTTTTCCAGACACTGTAGGGTAGGGGTGGGAGGGTGGCTAGAGAGTCTCAGTTTAAGCACTCTAACATGAAAATACAACCTCAGCTAGAAACATTGTCTTTAGTTGTTACTTTTATTTTTTTTAAGACAGGGTTTCTATGTATAACAGCCCTGGCAGTCCTGGAACTGGCTCTGTAGACCAGGCTGGCCTGGAACTCACAGAGAACCGTCCGCCTCTGCCTCCTGAGTGCTGGGATTAAAGGTGTGGAAATAGTGTTTTTTTTCTTTTAAGATTTATTTATTATATATACAGTGTTCTTCCTCCATGGCAGAAGAGGGCACCAGATGGTTGTGAACCATCATGAGGTTGCTGGGAACTGAACTCAGGACCTCTGGAGAAGCAGTCAGTGCTCTTAACCTCTGAGCCATCTCTCTAGGCCCTAGAATTTCTGGCCGAAGTTAAGTCATGCTGTAACGGAACCTGAAGATCTTGTAGGATGGACAATCCCATATCACCAGGCCATGTGTTGCATGACACAAGGTGCACTAGGGGCAGAAGTATCAAACTAAACACCATCAAGGGCCAGGTAAGCCATCCAAAGTGATGAGGAGAGCATCAGGTCTGGTGGCACACCCTTTTACCCCAGCACTTGAGAGCTAGAGGCAGGTGGATCAAGGAAGAGTTTGAGGCCAGCCTGGGCTACATAGTTCATTCCAAGACAGCCTAAATAGTAAGACTCTCAAAATAGAAAGTGGGCAGAGGGTTCTGGGAAGCTAGGTTCCTGCCTGAAAGAACACCTATTATTGTGTTGTATGCCAGCCAACTGCTGCCACTGGGAACATCAGATCTGAGCCTTTAAAGTCTCCCATGAATTGTATACAGCAGCAATCAGATGGTCACAGATGCAGCCTGACTGGACTTGTGAGTTATTCCTAAGGTACAGGATATGGGATGAGAAACAGCAACTTGAGAGTGGAAAAATCCAGCACACATGACCTTGACCAAGTTGCAAAGGTCAGCCTCACTGGAGGTGTCACAGGATGTCACATATCCCTGGACTGCAGCAGAAGACACGTCCTGTATGAGGGGCTCCCTCCCAAGACTCGTGAGAAGTACATCATGCAGCTGAGAATGTTTTAGAACACCTGCCAGCCGCTTCCCCAGCCCCAGCTGTGGAAAGGAAAGCCTAAGAAACTGTCACAGGCCAGAACAGACTAAGGGAAATGAAGTCATTAAAAGAAAAGTGTCACATACCCTTAATCCCAGTCCTTGGGAGGCAGAGGCAAGGGGATCTCTGTGAATTCGAGGCCAGCATGGTCTTCATAGTGAGTTCTAGGACAGCCAGTGCTACATAGTGAGACCCTGTCTCAAAATCTTAAAAAAAAAATAGTGGCAACTTGGAGGAATACAAGGTCATGGTGCAAAGTCCGGTCAAACAGAAATGGTTCACAGTGTTGCATTAGTGCTAACTGTTTGGTCCCCACCGTGGATGTGGAACACATTTCCACTGGAACTAAATCTGGGTGAGGGACACACAGGGAATTTCTGGACAATCCCTGCAGCTTCTACACATATAAACGAGGATCTCAAGTTTGAGGTCCGATCTGGAATATAAAGTTTCAGACCAGCCTGAGGTACACAGAGAGATCACAGCTCAAAAAATGTGGGTGGGACTGAGGAATTGGCTCAGTGGTTAAGAGCAGGTCACAGGCAGCTCTTTGCTGAGGGCTGATGTTTGATTCCCAGCACCTACATGGCAGCTCACAAGCCTTAACTCCAGTTTCAAAGAACCTGATGCCCTCTGCTAGCCTCTGTGGGTATTGCAACATGTAGTGCATGGACATAACACACAGGCAAAACATCCATACACATAAAATAAAAATAAATAAATAAATATCTTTGTAAATATTTAATTAGGTAAACAGACAGCACAGTTTAGCGAGAACCCACTAGTAGGCTGGGCTCAGAAGACAGACAGTGACACCCATGCTTTCTGAATCCAAGCAAGAAGCAGACAGCTCCTCTTGCTCCCAACACAGGGACAGCCAGTCTCTGAAGGAAAGAGGCATTCCAGGGGAGGAAACCCAGTTCACTCACAAGTTTGAGTCCCTACCAGCGTTACTCAATGTGGGTAAAATTATGGGTTCCCACAACAGACAGCACACAGCTACGATAAAATAGCCCCAACCAGGCTTCCCCTGCGCACTTAGGACGTCTTCTCCTTTTGTGGGAAGAAGCTGAAGTCGGGACTACCAAAGTCACAGATTTCGGGAACACAAAAGGTAAGGATCTGCGACATTCATGGGACACAGAGACACACTTGTCGGCAAGCTGGGAAACAGAAAGCAGAACAGAAGCCAGCCTCACGGCTACATAGCTTCCCTCTGCCCAGCCTGAAAACCACCTAGCAATAGCTTCTAGAAGACTGGGATCAAGGAAGAGTTGTCCCCCTAGGCTGTCTGCACACAACATTAGTCAGTAAAAAACCACCCAGCTGCACATGGCAGGTTCCCAGCCTGCAGTGGGGATGTCAGCTAAACTATACTGAACGGTCCATGGCCACCTTAGGAGAAGGCCAGCAGAGTGCAGTGATCTACAGCTTTAGGTTCCTGTCTCGAGTTCCTGCCCTGACTTTTCTTCATAATGGACTGTAAGCCTCTCCACGTTGTTTTTAGTCCTGGTTTTTTCTCATTAGGAGGACCCAGACACCCCAGTACCTTTAGACTCAAGGACACGTCTCTAGGGAAAGGGCAGAGCCAGTGGGTTCCTGGAGGAAAGGGGCCTCCCAAGTCTGACAGATGCAAACACGAAGACAAGAGGAATCCAGCCTGAAATGCATTATGTAGCCCAGGCTATCCTTGAACTCTCCACGTTCCTGCCTTCCCGGGGTCAGGGATTACAGGTCTGAACCAAGGCTGGCTGTAGCTGTGAAGACACTCACCAAGAGCAAGTCCCGGTGGGCCACCAACGACACCACCGACGAAGGCCACTGTCCCCACAACCAAGGCACCCCTCCCGGAGTGTTTGACGGCCGCCTTCATATTTCTCTCCTGGGAAACCGAACACAGGAGCTTCATGACGTCATCCACCACGATGGGCATGTCGGCAGACCTTAAAGGGCCATTCAAAGAGACGGGTGGTTCAGTGCTTGCACAGCTGTGTACTTAAAAAAATGTGCATACAGGTGTTCTGCTGCTTGTATGTCTATGTGCCACATGTGTGCAGTGCCCTCTGGGGGCCAGTGATCCCGTGGAACTGGAGCTACCGACAGCTGTGAAACATCATGTGGGTGCCAGGAAATCACACCCGGGTCCTCTAAAAGGACAGCCCCTGAGTCTTCTCTCCAGTCTCTGTTTTTGTGTTTTGGTTTTGTCCATTTTTTGAGATAAGGCCTCCTTTGCTACATACTCCAGATCAATCCATTTAGTTTATTTATTTATTCTGAGATAAAGTCTTGCTACATACTCAGGACCATAATCCTTTCGCCTCGGGCTTTTGCCTCGGGGATAACAAGGGAGTACCAGCGTCCCTCAGTGACTGAAAGGAGAGCTTTAACGAGCTTATGCGTATTTTGACCCAAACCTATCAGCTTCTAGCATCTCAGGAAGAGTGCCCACCTTCCTGGAAAGGAGTTGCTCAGTCGGTCATGTGCATGGGGGACCGGCACCCAGCCCTGTGTGTTCTCTGTCGCCAAGGATCTGGGCATCAGCTAACAAGCAAAACGGGAGCGGCAGAGTGGATGAAAGGTCTTTTCTGCCCTCTGATCGGCTTTAGACAAACGAGGAAGCAGCCTCAGTCACAGGCTTTACCAGTCCCCGAGCAAGCTCAGCCTGGCCTCTCTCATACCAACAGCCTTCCAAGTGGCTCCAGCAACCTTTAACATACAAAGCCTGGCAGGGATGAGAAAGTCCCAGCCTTACGCCTCTCTCGTGTGACAAAGCATCGATGAAGCCAAGGCAGAAAGAGGGGAAAGGACAAGACTCTGAGGCCACATCGGCAGTTGCCTGCTGGGCAGCCCAGAGCCGGGAGTTGGATATTTAGCTTTAAGATGAAGTTAAAACGGAGCTGAAAATGAGGTTCTTTATGGTAGACACAAAAATGCTCTGAGTTTGAGCCTCAGTGGGGGCAAGGGGGGGAAGGTGGACCCTTATAAGGGGTACAGAGAGGGGTGCAGAGTGACTGAGAGGAGCCGAGGGGCAAGAGCTAGGCATGGTAGCATACGCTGTCCTCCCGGTACTTGGGAAGCTAAAGCGAACCCATGGCCAGCCCGAATTAGACAGCTAAACTTCCTACTAAACTAAAAATAATAATTAGTTAATAATAAAGAAAAGCGGGAACAATATGAATCAGCAAGACGAAGCCATCACAGAACAAAATACGTCAGATTTCTAGGGCTTGGCGATTGGCATGGTGGCTCATAGCTGCCACTTCAGCACTTGGGAAGTAGAAGATCTGGATGAGTCTGAGGCCAGCCTGGGCTACACAGTGAGGTACAGACAGGCCTACATTCCAGAGCAAGACCCTGTCTCAAAACAAGAGATTTCCAGGGGTTTACAAGACACATGAAACAATAGACAGAGGGCCCTTAAGAACAATGAATCGTGTCACCAGGCAGTGGTGGTGCACGCCTTTAATCCCAGCACTCGGGAGGCAGAGGCAGGTGGATCTCTGTGAGTTCGAGACCAGCCTGGTCTACAGAGCGAGTTCCAGGACAGCCTCCAAAGCCACGGAGAAACCCTGTCTCAAAAAACCAAAAAAAAAAAAAAAAAAAAAAAGAAAAAGAAGAACACTTTGCCCTGCTGCCTGGGAAGTAAGAGGCAGAGGCATAGCCATAGGTAAAGAGCATTGTGCCCCACAGACGGATGGACAGGCCACTTCATAAGGCTGGGGAGAAAAGGCTGCAGAGCTGATGCTTCTAGAAGACTCCCTCATGTTCTGCTCCCATGAGGCTGAGGTACCTGTCTCCTAAGGGAGTCCCAGGCTACTGTCAACAGCCTTGGATTACACCAGGCTTTGGTCAGTTGGTTGATTTCTCTGTCTGCCCAATAATTATGCAGAATCTTCAATGTAAAATTATCCTCTGGCAAGCCTGGCGGTGGTGGCACACACCTTTAGTTCCAGCACTTGGGAGGCAGAGACAGATCTCTGTGAGTTCAAGGCCACCCTGGTCTACAAAGCTACACAGAGAAACCCTGTCTCAAAAAAAAAAAAAACAAAAAAAAACAAACCACACACAAACAATGTCCTCTGGCTCTGGGAGTTCTGAGCCCTAAGGAACTCATGGAATCACTACATTGTCACCAAGGCTATTTTTCAAAACTTCTGGACACTCCCAGGAGGAAGAAGTATGTTGTGTTCCAGCCCCTTGAAATGTTCCTTTTTCTCACCCCCAACCCCCTTTGAGATTTCTTCATAGTCCTCCTAAGGTCTGCACCGTCATCTCTGGCTTCCTTAAACATTCTGATAAACTGCTGATGAATGTCTTCCTTTCAAAAGACTAGCACCCCACTCCCATCCCGTAAGGTAGCTAACTACTTCCCAGTTCTGCTCGGGTGCAGATCCAGCTTTTTGTTTAATCTGTCAGTTACAACGGAAAAGGTCAGGTGCAGCCCAGGTCTCAGAAGACGGCAGGATAGCACCCATGCTCGGAAGTGCAAGGCTCGTGACATTCCTGTCCTGAAGCACCGGCACGAAGACACCACTCCACGTATCAAATCTCTGCAGGACAACGGATCTGCACTCCCAAAACGGCTGTTGTGTAACAAGACGGTGCATGTGAAAAAAAGCAGGACAGAGAAGTATACAACAGCTCCCCCCTCATCAATAAGGAATACATCCTGAGACTCCGGTAGATGCCTGAAAGCTAGATCATTCTGTCCTTCCAACTGTTATGCCCTCCTTCCTTTGCAATGTAACTCTCCAGCTTTGGAGTCTTTATTAAGTAAAACGAGGTTCCTTGAGTACATGCACTGGGCACCCACAGCTGAGGGCTACTGAGAGGCTAGTGTGTGGGTAGAGTATACTCTGCGGACACACTGGACAAAGGCAAGACTCACATCCTAGGCAGAATGCAGCAGGGCGACATGAGATTTCTCACACTTCTTGGACAAAATGAGATTTCTAACTACTTAGGAAACCTGTGGTTTAAAACTTACTAAGTGGTCGGGCATTGGTGGCGCACGCCTTTAATCCCAGCACTCGGGAGGCAGAGGCAGGTGGATCTCTGTGAGTTCAAGGCCAGCCTGGTCTACAAAGCCAGTTCCAGGACAGCTTCCAAGACAATACAGAGAAACCCTGTCTTGAAAAACAAAAAACAAAAAAAAAAAACAAACAAACAAACAAAAAAAAACCCAAACTTACTAAGTATTTAAAACGGTTTATTTCTGAAAAGTTTCACTTACTATCTGGCTGCAGTTAGTTGAAACTACAGAAGGCAAAACTGCGGACAAGGGAGCAGGCTCATTTCAGCCTCTATTATCTTCAGAACTGCTCTGAATAACGTTAAGTGAAAACCCATGGAGCAGATAAGGCACCAGCATGCACATGTCATTAATCTCCACCTAGTCCAGCTAAATCAGTGCAAGAGGACAAACGAGGTTCTATAGCAGGTGCCAGGAAACAGGGAGCTGGGCAAGAAATACTCCAGCTGAGTATTCTGCACTCTGTGGCTGCAAGGCAAGGGCGATTTTAACTTCTTGAATAATTGCAGAAGTTACAGCAGCAACAGGCTTTTGTTGAGAAAGAAAGGTTTGCAGCCCAGCTCCTGAGTCCGTGTGTTTCATTTCCTGCATTCTTCATGCCCAAGAGACTGAAAAAAAAAAGTCCTTTTCTCCTCCTCCCAGCACAGGGTCACCTGTGTCTGTTAGAGATGAGGATGCAAGGGCCTTCCCACAGTAACAACTATTTTAGTAATGCTGTGTCTTCAAAATGGGTCCTGCCCGCTGAAGTTCACCTGCCAGCCACAGGGAAGGCAGATGATGTTAACTGAGAGCTCTGATGTTTTAGTCACCCAGGCTAGTGGGAAGATGACAACCCTTGGACAGCAGTCTGAGTAAGTTTAATCAAGTTGTCAGGGACAAGGGAGGGGGCTTCAGAGCTAACAGGGACCTCCATGTTCTTTACAGCAATATTAGACAAAGGTGGGATTCCAATTTCCTGTGTGGAAGGAGGAAGTGTGTGTTGGGGGAGAAACGAAACAGAGAGTGGAGAACAGGCCCTTGCCCAGAAGTCACTATCCGGAATTTACGCACCCACCACACAAAGTTGCTTTTTAATTACTTGACTGTTGCTATTTAAAAATAAGACATCTAGAGCACCCCTGGGACTCCAGCACTGGGGAGGCTACAGTAGGAGGACTGACGGTAAAGACCAGCAATAACAAAATCTTAAAACCTCCTGAAAGATCAGAAGGCGTCAGTGGTAGGTTCTCTACATAGCTGGCAGACTGGGCTGGCACTGGTAAACTCGGCAGGGCAATGCCCTCTGTCCGGGCCTCGCCCCTGCCTACATGCACCTTATTCACTTACTCAGTCATAGCAGAACGCTTCTCAATCACAACTCCAACAAATCTGGCCTTCTGCGCCCCTGACATCCCTTCCTGACCATCTCTAAGACAGCACCCAGGTTCTGCAATCCCGTAAGGGTTAGGCTGTGGGAGCCGCCGCAGCGCGCACGCGCACTCCCGCAAACGCCCGCTGATGCTGGCTGCGCGCGGAGCCGCCGGGACTCCAGCCTCGGCGCTGCAGCTTAGGCCTGTCCGTGCCTCAGTTCCTTCCCAGGAAGATGACCAGCCAGACACCGTGGAGTCCCCGACAGGCTCCACACACCCTGGCTTCCCCCGCGCGCACCTTTACCGTGCTGGTGTCTGGAACCGCGGGGACACTGAGGCTCGCTCCGCTCTGCCGGCTCCGCTTTGCTAGCGCCAGGGAGGCGCTCACAGGACACCGCCACCCTCCCTGGCTCCGCCCTCCCGCCTTCCGGCTCTGCGGGCCTTCCGGGTCGAAGTGCCTTGGGTCTCCTCGGGTCCGGGTCCTCAAGCTGGGCAAGGCCTGGAAAGGGACCCTGAGAGCTCAGCCGAACGTCCGCCGCCCCTCTCTGCCCCGCCCCAGCATCTGCTTGGCTGACACCGAGACCATGGCCAGGAACCCCATAGGGAACGCCTGGAGACGACTTGGTGTCCCGACTACCCAGCCTTGTACCCAAACTCACGTCTAGGATCCCGGGTCGCTCCTGGAAGGTCCTCTCCGGGCACCCTTTGCGCTGGGTCTGTGACCTGCAGCGTCTCCCCACCCCACCCCCGGAGTCTTGGGCGTGGAAGATGCTGCAGGGGGTTGAGCTAACACTGAGGCCTGCGTGGGGCGCACAAGGGCTGGCCTAGCTCTCAGACCTTCTCAGGCTACCAAGGAGCCCACTCCACTTGCAGTCCAAGGGAGGCAGCTTGGGAGGAGAGCAAAGAGTAGCAAAAACAAGAGAGGCCCGTAGGTACAGCGATCCCCTATTCCTGACTCCAGGCACCCTAGGGCTAGCCTTGAGCTACTCCCAAAGACTTCTGGAAGCGCTCCCAATACTGTGAACTGTAACGCCGAGCGAAGTCTTGCTGAGTAGGCACGGTTGTCCTTGCCAAAACTACATTTAGAGGGGCTGGGTTGGCTAACACCCCACCATTAGGAAATGTGGACTCCAGTCTGGGTCAGTGTGGCTTCCAGCAAGCTCTGCCTGGGGGGGGGGGTGTGCAGCAAGCCTTCAGATGACAGACTGCTTCTCGTGAAATGTCATATTGTGCTCTTTTGTGCCTTCTTGTGGGAAGGCTTCGAAAGCCCTTTAATACCAACATCCTCCTGGGCTGGCGTGGAAAATGCTGTCCGTCTTCGAATTTCTTGAGGTTACGTTACTTTCAAGAGCCAAAGTTAACTGAGGCCAGGAATAGGTCAGCTCGCTGCTCCTCCTCTGCTTACGCTGAGTGTCGCCCCCCCCCACTCCGCGAGCGCCCTCTGGTGGCATGTTAAAGAACAGGACCGTTGTCTCCGTTGCCCAAGACCAGAAAGCACAAGAAGCAAGTAGAAATGCAGGGAGCAAGAAAAAAAGCTCAGTGGAGAGGAAAGGGCAGGATATAAGACATTCACACAAGGGCTGGAGAGATGGCTCAGAGGTTAAGAGCACTGTCTGCTCTTCCTGAGGTCCCGAGTTCAATTCCCAGCAACCACATGGTGGCTCACAACCATCCAATCATCCGTAATGAGATCTGGTGCCCTCTTCTGGCACGTAGGCGTACATAACACTGTGCTATAATAATAAATAAATCCTTAATAAAAAGAAAGACATTCTCACAAATGATGAATGAATTCACAAAGTGATCACGCTGAAGACTAGAAATGTCACACGCAGTCTGTCTGTGAGGGAGGCACCCCAGTAGGGCTAGGTGGCGTCCATCCATAGTCCCATCATTTGGGACCCACCTTTAATCCTAGCACTCAAAAGGCAGAGTCAGGCAGATCTCTCAGTTTGGGGTGAGCATGAACACAGAAAGTTCCAGATGGGCCAGGACTACATATTAAGACCCTGTCTCAAACAACAACCTAAAAACAAACAAAACCCATAAGAGTTTGAGACCAGCCTAGGCTGAATATGGAGACCCTGTCTCAACCATCTCCCCTCCCAACCCTAAACTCACACATTGAAAGCTATTGGTAGGGTAGTGATATGGATCTTTGGGAGGTGACTAGTGACCTCAAATAAGAGCAGGAGGGAGTTTGTTGTCCCTTCCTCTGTAATTTTTTTAAAGATTTATTTATTATGTATACAGTGTTCTGCCTCCAGGCCGGAAGAGGGCACCAGATCTCACTACAGATGGCTGTGAGCCACCATGTGGTTGCTGGGAATTGAACTCAGGACCTCTGGAAGAGCAGCCAATGCTCTTAACCTCTGAGCCATCTCTCCAGCCCCCCTTCCTCTGTAATCTTGTACTTCCTGGTCTCCAAACTAAGAAATCAGTTCAATTGTTCATAAATCCCCCATCCTTGCGATTTTGTTACAGAAGCTTGAAGGGATTAAGACACTTCCCCCTGAGCCTGAGGGAAAGAGCCTTGTCTCTCTTAGCTTCTGGTAAAGTCACCAGTCTTTGATAACCATTGGCCTGCAGTGTTATTCTCCTCTGTTGCTGCATGGCATTCTCGTGTGTGTGTGTGTGTGTGTGTGTGTGTGTGTGTGTGTGTGTGTGTGTGTGTTATGTGTGTCTGGTGGTGCATGCATGTGAGTCTGTAGATTGGTACACCTATGTGTGTACATGAAGATGCCAGAACAAGACATGAGGAATTCTTCCTCTATTACTGTCTTTGGGGATTTGAAAGAAGATGGTCCCCAAAAGGGAGTGGCACTATTAGGTGTGGTCTTGTTGGGAGAGGTGTGTCACTGTGGAGGCAGGCTTTGAGACCTCATATACGCTCAAGCCACGCCCAGTGAGACACACTACTTCCTGTTGCCTGTGCAAGATGTAGAACCCTCATGTGCCCAGGCCAGCAGGGCACAACCAAGGTCGAGCCCAGAGAAACCTGGAATGAGGGGACAGGAAACAAGAGAAACGGACAGGCTTTCTGATCAAGCTATCTGGTTTTATTTTCCTTAGGTGTGTTATATAGTGGTTGGGGGGGAGGACTCGGTAGGGCAGAGTAATCAAAGGAGAGGGGTCTTTACCTAGTAACCAGGCCAATGAAGGTGAGCAGATAGCAGGTGTTGGCAAGCTGAATGGGTCGCAGAAGGAGGGGTAGTTAATTGATCTAATTGTGGAATGTTTCCTTTTTTGCCATTAGCTATTCCTGTGAGCCCAAGTTTTATTCATCAGGAAGCTGGGGAGGGGAAGATGGTTGAATGGGACTGAAGGTAGGTATTCTTTTAACACGATGAGCTATTTAAAAAGGCTCGGGCCGGGCGGTCATGGCCCATGCCTTTAATCCCAGCACTCAGGAGGCAGAGGCAGGCGGATCTCTGTGAGTTCGAGGCCAGCCTGGTCTACAGAGTGAGTTCCAGGACAGCCTCCAAAGCCACAGAGAAACCCTGTCTCGAAAAACAAAAACAAAAAAACAAAAAAACAAAAAAAAAAGGATGGGAATATTTGCAAGAGGTCCTATATACCAATGATGGCTCCTGCATGCTGCCATGTCCCACCATGATGATAATAGACTGAACCTCTGAAATGTAAGTCACCCAATTAAATGCCTTGTAAGAGTTGCCAACCCTATCTAAGCCATTGTCCCTTATTGTCTTGAGCTGAGGTTGCTTACTGAATCAGTCAGTGTCTTGGGAGTTCAACTAGGCAGCTCCTGGGATCTGCCAGGTGCTACCCACACCTCCAATGCTGGAGCCCCAGGCATAGGTAGCCATACCCGGCTCTTTACATGGGTGCTAGGAACTCACACTCAGGCCCCCATGCTTGCACAGAAAGCACTTAGCCAGTAAGCTATCTCCTCAGTGACCCATTCCCTAGTCCTTATAAGGATACAAATTATGGTGGCTAAGAGCCCACCTTTATGACCTCATTTTTACATCCATAAAGACCCTACTTTCAAATAAGGTTACATATGCAGTGACAGAGTTGGGACTTCATGTCTTTGCAGGAACTGTTGTTCACTCTGATAACTCAATGGGGATGGCCCCCATAGGTTCATACGTTTAAACGCTTGGTTCCTGTTGGTGGAACTATTTTGAGATGTGACTTGTTGATGGAGGTGTGTCACAGGGGCCAGGCTTTGAGGCTTCAAAAGATTGGCAACATGGTGTGCTGTCTGCTTCCTGTTTGTGGACCAAGATATGGGCTCTCTGTGGCCGAAGGGATGGCTCAGTGCTTAAGAGAACTTCCTTCTTTTTCAGAGGACCTACGCTCAGTACTCAGTACTCAGTACTCACTACCACCTGTAACTCCAGCTCCAAGAGAGTCTGATGTCTCTGGCCTCCACTGGCAACTGTATTCAGATGCATACGCACAAAACAAATTAATAACTAATAAAAATAAATAAAAAGATGTGAACTCCCAGCTGCTGTTCAGTCATCTGCCATCATGAACACTGACTCTCTGGAGCTGTAATCCCAACGAAATCTTTCTTTTATAGGTTGTCTCGGTCATGATGTTTTATTGCAGCAATAGAAAAGTAACTAAGACTAACCCGTAACACCAGGAACTCACGAGAAGCCAGCTGTTATCATTTCTGAGCACGTGCCTGACAGACACATGCCCACTCCATGGCGGGACACAGAGTCCTCGTGCCAAGTCTAAGTCAAGCTTGACGTGTGCCTGAGGACCACTGACGCTCAAGTCTTGGCTGATCTTGACTCTGAAAGTGTCAAGAAGGTCTGGAGACCTATGGCAATTTCGCCTTGGGCTCTATCACTTCTTCTAAAGGTTAATCCATCATTCATCTTTTCATGACTTAGCATCAGTCTGCATGCTTGCTGTGGCATTCTGAGTGCTGTCATCACTGCCAGGATTATTGTTACTCCTCCCCTGCACAGCCATGACTCCCTAAGCCATCATCACCACCTCAGTCTCCGCCAGGTCCCCAGCCTTTCAAGTGCCAACTTACCCAAAGTGGGACATTAAAGATCTTTAGTAGAGCCAGGAGATGGCTGGCAGGCTATATGACCCCTTATTCCTCTCTAATCACGACCGCTTTCCCCAAAGTCACATTTAAAAAGAAACAGCAAAGCTCAGTGAAAACACAAGCTGGGACAAAGTCCTAGGCTGGTCCCCGACTTATCCTTACCGTCCTCAACTACGGAATGAAGACAAGAACCCAGACTCTCAACAACCTGGGCTTATTGTGACAACTAAATGAAAAAGTAGGCAAAAGGTGCTGTGTCCCCTGAGAACAGGAGGCCAGTCATAGTACCAGCCTGCTGTCAATGGCTTGTGTCTACAAGGCACCCTGAGGACTCTAAGGGAGAACTTACAAGTTAATTCGACAGAGCTATGTTGCGCCCCAAGTCTGCCTGATGAAATATACAGTGCCAGGCAGAGGTGGCAAGCACCTATTGTCTCGGCATTTGAGAGACTGAGGCAAGAGGATTATTACAACTTTGATGGACAGGGAGGTTGGAGAGATGGTTCAGCAGTTAAGAGCACACCGACTGCTCCTCTAGAGGACCTGGGTTCAGTCCCCAGCAGCTAACAACTGTCTGTAACTCCAAGATCTGACACCCTCATACAAACACACATGCATGCAAAACACCAATGCAAATAAAAATAAATTATTTAAAAAAAAGAAAAAAGAAAACTTTGAGGCCAGCCTGAGCTACACAGCAAGATCCTATCTTGAAAAAAAAAGGGGGGGGGTGATATACAGGCATGAAGAGATGGTTCAGTAGTTAAGAGCACCAACTGCTCTTCCAGAGGACCTGGTTAGATTTCCAGGACCCACATGGCCGCTCGCTGTAACTCTAGTCCCAGGGGATCTGACACCCTCTCCTGGCCTTTGTGGGTAGCAGACTCACAGGCATACATT